AAAGCAGTTTTGTCTTCCTAAATCACAGTGGCTACTTGTTCCATCCCCTGGAAAGGAGGAGAGAACCTGACACCCGTAACCCTATAAAGCCAAACGTATCATATTTGATTCGGTTTCTGAAGGCCTCTGCAGATGTGGGAGCTCAAACGAGAACACAAGTCTCTAACCGTGGCTGTACGACAAAAGTCTAGACGCCCCTGCTCCCCTGGGGTCTTATTTCTATTCCAGAGACGTGCTAATCACTGGCTGCTCTCACGTGCACGCGCCCGGCACATTTTTATTTTATTTTTATTTAACCTTTATTTTACCAGGAAGTCCCTTGAGATAAAATCTCTTTTTCAAAGGGAGACCTGGCCAGGAGGCAGCAGTACAGTAAGACATATAAGAACACAGGACAACATAATAAAATCAATCATAAACTACACTCTAGAGGAACGGTTACAATGCTCTGTGCAAGCGGTTTTCAATAGTGATTTAAAATGATAAAGTGACACAGGTATGGGGGGAGTTTACCCAGGATGGCCTTGTAAATGAAAGTAAGCCAATGATGTTGTCTTCTGAACCTTATCTCATTGACTGCCAGAGTTTTTTTTAGCATTTTGACTGATTTTTCAAGAGCCACAGAATAGTTTGTGCTATGACTATGTAAACACCGAACACACCAAAAGAAAGAGTAGACTCTCTTCTTTCATCAGGAAAAAAAATGTGTTTCTACCTTATTCCGTTCTTCCTGGACTTGCGTCTCACCGGCGACATGTTCTCTCATAGAACCGTTCCCTTTTTCTTATTTGCCTACAGTCTATGCTCATCTCCCATCAAAAGTGGCACTGCCCCCTAGAGGGTCAATTTGTTACTACATACTCTGTCTAGAAGCCCATATTTACGGACAAGCTTTAGCAGATCGTCCCCCAGACACTCTCGTTGAAAAACATAAAAGACGTCTATAGACGTCTTTGGCAGTCAATGAGTTAAAGAGGGCCATGAAACCAGAGCATACAGTTCACAATGATGAGTCCTGAAGGCAGAGCTGGTGATGAAACGTAAAGCACTGTGATAAACTGTGTTCCAGGGAGTGGAGAGCTGAGGAGGCAACATTCATATATATGATGTCTCCATAGTCCAGAACAGGAAGGAAGGTGGTCTTAACAAGTTTTTTCCTCACTGAGGGAATCAAAGAGGGTTTTTGTCTGTAGTAAAAGCCAAGCAGGGCTTTCAGTTTTTTTTTAACATATCATCTAAATGTGTTGTGAAAGACAATTTGTTATCTATCCAGATAGCCGAGGCAGAAGGCCGCCCACCCTGAGCCATGGTTCTTCTCCAGGTTTCTGCCTGTTTAAAGGAAGTTGTTCCTTGCCTGTGTCGCCTAGTGCTTGCTCATGGTGGGAATTGTTGGGTTTCTGTAATTAACTTCAGAGTAGGGTCTGACCTGCTCTGTTTGGAAAGCTGTGAGACAACTGTTGTTGTGATGTGGCGCTATATACAGTGGGGGAAATAAGTATTTGACCCCTTGCTGATTTTGCAGGTTTGCCCACTTCCAAAGAATGCTTATTTTTCCTCATCAGATGGTTATCAATTTTTATAAATTCATATGATGTGATTTTCTGGAATTTTCTTTGGGATTCTGTCTTTCACTGTTAGAATGTACATATGATTAAAGTTATAGATCGTTGCATTCTTTGTAAGTGGGAGAACCTGCAAAATCAGCAAGGGGTCAAATACTTTTTTCCCCCACTGTATGGGGAATCTGCCATGCATCCACTGGCCGTGCCTCCGTCCCTCTTTCCCTCCCAGTTCTGGCTTTTTCCCCCCTTTTTTTGCAGCTTAATGGTGTGTGTGTGTTGGCACAGTGTTGGAGGCGAGCTCAGTCTTAAGGTTAATGAGGGGGGCCGGGACTCGGACATGCCTCCACAGGGCAGGACAGGAAAGAGAAATAAAGGGGAAAGTCAAATAAATTAGAAGACATTGAAAAGGGTTTTATAAAAAGGAAACGTAATAGAGAGAATGAGAAAAAACCGGGAGGTCGGGGGTCAGGTCACAGGGTCAGATCACCTGATAAAAGACGAAAAAAGATGAGAACATTTAATATTCTCCAACATTTAACCCTTTAAAGCCTGATCCAAGAATAAAACAAAACAGAAGATTACTTTTTTTTGGTTTGAATTCCTTATCAGGCCTTTTAACAAAATATGTAAAAAGAAAAAACAGAAATACATTTTTAATATTTATAATTTATCACTATGCGATAAGTCAAGATTATGTTTTGTGTAGTTTTCTGCCCCCTGTTATCAGGTGTATCTGATTGTGTACAATAGTATTTGGAGCAAAGTTTTTACCATTAAATTATGCAAAAGGAGTCAGACGCAAAACATTTCAGAAACCGTATGAATCAAATATGACACATTTGGCATTACAGGGTTAATATTCTCCAATAGAACAAAATAGCAAAGAAAGAAGTGGATGACGGAGACGTGAAAGGGAAATGGCAAAGGGAAAAAAAAGAGTAGGAGCTGTACAAAGACTCAGGCTTAATCATTCATATTGAGTAAATGCCCCCACTGTGTATCCCTCCTTTTTTCCTCTGCTTACAGAATGGACAATGGAATAAATAATAAGAGCTTGTGTCACGTTACCAGCGGTGCCGTTTCTGGTAAAGAAGCGATCACGCTAACGGCTGGATGCTGACACACACACACACACACACACAGACACACACACACACACACACACACACAATAAAGTGAGGACCATGAAAATGTCCTCACTTTCAAAAAAGACCTCACTTTGTTGGTTAAAAACTAGGTATGGTTCTCACCCTGATGCGGCAACAAGGACACACACAAACACACACACACACACACACACACGCACACACACACACACACACACACACACACACACACACACACACACACACACACACACACATAGCGGAGAACTCGTACGGTATATTTGTCCGGGCCCAGACGGCCCTGGGGGTGTAAATCTCCAGCTAACGGGCATTTAGTGGGTGTCCGGGACAGAGATTAGCTCGTTTTCTACTTTAGTCTGGAAAAAAAGGCCCTGAATCAGCTCCAAAAAACTGCTGATGCTCATCTGCTATAGGCTAATCTGCACTAAATTCCCACTTATGTGTGTGTGTTCCTCAGGACTAAACTTCCTCAGATTAACCCCAATGGTATTAGTCAGGTGTTGTGGATTTTTAGTCAGAAAAAGCCTGGAAAACAGCTTATTTTACCGATCAGACAAATGAATTTTCTGTTTAACCTCTTTTCATTCTCATTCATTATTCAGGGTTTTTTTGGGCTTATTCTCATATCCTCCGAGGCTTAAAATGTGCAGAACGGTGAAATCCAGCAAAAGTCTGTGGTGGGGGGCAAGGTTGATGCCCCGAGTGCTCTTTAAATATCCCGAAAACTACAAAAAGCAAAAAGGCAAAGCTATTTCCAATCCTATTAAAGCAGAAAAGTCAACAAAGAGGAATCTGGGATTTGCTGGTGGGAGAAACGGAGTGGATGTAAGCAACATTTATTTGTCCATCCACTAAAAAAAAAGGAAACAAAGTTAATCTATCCTCATAATGGTTGACAAACCAACTAAATGTGGATTCCCTCCCGTGTTTAACAGCCAAAATGAGTCAGCTTTTCTATGATAAAGAGCAACAGACGCGTCCTTTTGAAGCAGAAATCAGCCATTTTTAAAGCTTTTTTTCAGTCCCTCTTTGCTTTATTTCTGAACTCTTTGTTTATCGGATGGTTTGGCTCCTTGTTTTTCTGCAATAATAAATCACCGATCCTTTCCCAGCTGATCCAAACGGGAAAGTACCCGCGCTGATGGACGGAGGGTGGCTGATTTCTGTCCGGGCAAAAGTCTGAGTCATCTGTTTGTTTCTCCAGTATCGCTTTCATTTGTCGTTTTGGTTTTGGTTTACTCCAGTCTGTCAGCCCAGAGCTAACACTCAGGCCGCGGCGTAATTCAGAGTCCTCATGCTAACCGACCACAAGAAGAAAGCTCAGATTGTTAGATTTTGGTTCTTTAGCTGGAAGCCTGGGAATAAATCAGAGCAGATCAAGAGTACAAATATGACATTTATTGGTCTAAAGTTTTGAGTTTGATTCCTTAAACTCCGAAAGAAGCGCCTCTTTGTGCTCGGCTAGCTTAGTTGTTAGCAGCGCCATGGTAGAGCTAGTAAGGTCATCGTCATCTCTCTTCGACTTTTTTGGGACATTTTTGAACAAAAAAAGGTGTAAAACACAAAAGGTAAAAGTAACCAAACATAAAACAAGTTCAAAACGGTATAATGGCCAGGTATAAGTTTAAAAGTCAGAGACTGCGGACTAACACGTCTAATCCATCGGACGGCTAGCGGAAGTCTAAAATCTGACATTTATTGGTCACAAAAAGAGTAAAGCAGCTGGGCTCTCACAGACAAAGCTCCCGGAGGATCTCAGTTAGCAAAGAGCCTCCATTTATGGGTGCGATAACCAAGTGTTATTGTCCAGTTAGCTCTGACAGGAACAGGCCAGGTCCTAATTCATGCAGGTTTAGGTGGAATGTGATAAGAAAGTGTGGATGTTGAGCTTGAAGATGAGTATCTACTGTAACAGAGAGAAGAGGCACAGCCAGAGAGTTTAGCCCAAAAGTAGAATTATAAAGGGAATAATATCGATCTAAAAAGGAAGAAGACAATCAGTCATTTACATAGATTGAGTTGTAGCATGCTATGCTAAAATTATAGCCCAATTCTAACAAGATAAAGCCAGAATGGATTTGATCAGTCAAAAGTCGCCCATGTGTCGGTTAACTATAGCTAGAAAAATTAATGATGAACAGTTCTGATCAAAATAACCAAACCAAGAAGGAATAAAAGGTTAGAGAAAGAATGTGTATTAAATAAAGAGCCCCAACTTGAATTGTTAAATATAAAATAGACAGTATAAGACAGTAAAGTAGATATTTAAGTACAAGACTGTAAAGAATATAGTTACCTAAATATGGTTAACAACATAAGTTATTTTTCCAACCTATTAGGTGACTTCATTGATATGATGTGAGGATGCTAAATGTCCAAAAGACGGATTAAAATGTGCCTGTTATTCAGATATTAGCTAACACCAGAGCTTGGAGGATGAGTTTACATATTTCCACAATCAAAGAAACACAATGTTGTGTTTTCTCAGTACAATTTCCTTTTGTCCTTCGTTTACTGGCCGGTCTTTAGCATTTCAAACCAACTGCCTGAAGCTGGGTTATGACTAAAAGTGTTAGATTAAGATCTTTTTCTGATCACCTACCAAAGAATTTCTGAGGCATACGTTGTGTAAGAAAAACAAGGTGATGCAATCACATAGAAATCTTGTTTTAAACTATATCTAATAGTGGCAAAAATACAAAAACAGTTTATCATCATTATGCGTGGCATAGTTGGACATCTTAAAATTAATTCTTTATTGTGTTTATTCCCATTTAACTGTATGCATTTTTAAAACCCATTTTGTTTCTGCCGTTTCATATCCATGAAAAAAACAGGAAATGAAAAGGGAACAATGCCTCGGTGAACGGTTACGGACATGTAGTTGAGCAACACGTTCCTCCCAGCTGCCGAGTGGGAGATGCCGGTAACCAACACAGAAACGTGTTGCGTGAGAACTGGAATCGACAGGAAA